CCCCCCTTTTTTTTAATTTTAACTGTCAGAAAACAGCAGGGTAAAGTTTCACAGTCTCCTGCTTGTGTTTATCTCTCCTTTTAGAGGAACTGTAGACCAGTTAGACCCATTACAAGTACATGACATGTCTCTTGGCAAACTGGAATAGTTTTCTTATTTAAATTTGGGAAGAAAATGAGGAGGATAAATGATTTTCAGTGCAAGGCACCATGTACAACTTAATTGTACAACTTAATTTTGCTGTTAAGCAGTTGTGATGTTGACTTTTTTATTGATATGGAAAGTCATTGACAAAATTTAACACTACTGCTTTGTATGAGCTCTGTATACAACTATTTAAAAATCTCACTTTCTCATTTCCCCTCCTCACTGCAATTTTGGAAAAATTTTTGCAAGTACTGCCTGTACAAATATTTTATGTGAAGTCAGCTGCAGGTGTATAGAGAAGAAAGAATGAGGGATTTCAGCTTTATGGGCAACAGACCAAACCCCATGTGCAAATAAATGAAGTAGTTCTCCCTCTACCAAAATGAAACAAAAAATGGATCCAACTATAGTGACACCAGAGAGCTACATGCAGCCACCACAATAAGATACAGCCAGCTCCACATCCACACCCGCTGCAGTAAGCGCAGCTTTCAATTAAATACACACAGACTGTAAAAATCAAGCCCTGTCATCCATTAAAATAAGGACTGCCATACTCCAAAAGCTCAAGGTACTCCCTGGCAGTTCATCCAGAAGCAGCTTTCCTGCAGAAGTCATTAGAAGCACAAAGTAGCAGCAACCATCGTTTTTGTGGCAGAGGAAATGAGTCACCAGGCGAGCACAGCTGATGTTCAGAGGTTTGTGATGGGAAGGAAAGGCCAGCTCAGAGTTTCCCCAAGCTCATCTTAGATGACAATCACAACCCTGACCATTAACCCTCACCTTTGGTTTTGCTTTCACAGGGAGACAGAAACCTGGTAGCAGCAGCCTAGGAAGCCTCCTCCTTTCATTCCAGCCTGCACTACACCCCTGATCCAGGGCCGAGCTGCCCATAGCATCACCAGTGACATGGACACAGGATCTCAGGGCTCAGACACCACTTAGGCAACAGCAGCAGCAATGTGACATTTCACTAATTTCAATGTTTTCATGAGTTCTAAGTTCAATAGGCAGGCTCTTTAACAAATAACCCATTTGGACTACTTGGCAGTTGAAATTACCCTCCAGTTAATCACTCATCCAGACACCCAGGACATGACATGTAGGAATTTAGTCCTCAATATCTGAGCCAGCTGCTGTCCCCCTATACCTGTAGGGCAGCTGCAGTTCTACATGGGCCAAGCCAAGATCACATCCATGTTTGCATTCTGCTGCATTTTGCTACCATCTGGAAGCAGCAGCTCATGTGTTAAAACGGCCATGAAAATGGGGGAGGGAATAGAACTGCCTCCTCAGTATTACATAAGGAGGTTTTAAATGTCAAAGAACCACCTGCCTTTCAGCCCCCATCCAGCAATGGGACAGGTAGCTGGCATTTCACGGTGTGTTTGTCAGACTTACCCATCTACATCAGATGTGGCACTTGTCACAGAAGACAGGGTCCCAGCTAGGCCATGTCCAACCACAGATCAATTCCACTGAATCCCTAGGGCCTCCAGCAGAGCTCTCCTGCTTCAGGCCCACCTGTGCACTATGGAAACTAACATCAGCAGCCAGAAGCTGGAGGTTTTGCCACCTGGCCACACTCCTGGTCCCCTTGGCCAGGTGTTGTGTTTCCTTTCTGTTGAACCACCAGAAAAAAAGCACAAAATAACAATAATAACACTAATAATAATAAACACGCTGACTTGCACAGTGCCAGCACATGGCACTACCAACACAATCACAACAAACTAAAGCACAGCTGAAGATTATATAATGCAGACATGTGACACATACCATGAACACGCCTCTGGGAAACATTTCAGCCTTTGCTTCCATGGGAAACCACTCAGAAAAATAACTGCTATAAAGCTATCTGGCATGCAGGTGAGCACTGTGAGGACTTTAACGAGACTTTAAGCTCCAGGTTTGTTGCCTGCCAATGGCAGAGCTGAGCTCCTCGAGGTCCCACTTTCTTCAGGTACAGCTGATATCACTGACAGCACCAGTGGGGTGAGGGACAGGCTTCTCACACAGCTCCAGGCACCGGTGAAATCATCAGCTGTTAAAGAGAAATGTAAATCCCCAGGAGGTTGGATTTCAGCCCTGGTAATTAAGGCAGGCTGGAACAGTTTAAAATAGAGGTCAAGTTTTTAAGTGTATGCATACTTTCACACATGCCTGCTAGTGTCGAATCAACAAGAGCCAGGAACAGCCTTTTTGGTCATAGAAAGGTTAGATTTCAACTCAAAATACACAAAAGGCAGTTGGCACAGAATTCTCACCCTCACCCTCAGTCTGTACACACAGGTCTGAGTGGAATGACACTGACCCTTCTTCCTGCTTGTGACCTCTCCCCACAGTCATCATCATCTTCTCCCTCCTCCCCCTGCCAGTCCAGCTCACAGTCCCAGGCTGCTTCACTGTCCCAGAGACTTTTCCCAAGCCTATGGTTTCCTTGGATGCAGACCTTCACATCCAGCTAAGGGGCACCTCAGGAGTGTGTGAAGACCAGAACATGCTGTAGGACACATGTTCCTTGGCTGTGAGGGTGACAGCACAGGTCACGGGCACTCCTGCAGAGGGGCCACGGGAAGGGTCTCCTCATCATCCCCATCTTTCCAGAAAAACCCTGCAGTAAGTTTACAAACAACAGAGTAACTGAGTCAAATCAGTCCTCCCAGATGGAAAGCACAGCCCAGGAGAAGAACAGATGTTTCATCCTGAGAGCTTTGTTTGTTTTGGGTTTTTCAAACGATTCTATGAAGTTCTGGCCAGAGGTAAATAGAGACCTTGTGTTTCATGGTATCAAGCACGGTATTTTCCTCCAAATGGCAGGGCACATTTGGAGAAAAAAGGTTCAACAGGTGCAAGTGTGAGGTTTTTTCACTCTAAAGAATGTCAATTTCATAAACATTATTTTCTTCTTTAAAGAGTGCAATACCTTACTACACCTACTTTATAGCATTTAGTTGGGCTTTTTTCCCTGAAAATTCTTTCAGAAGAATTCCACAAAAAGCCAAAAAGAGAAATTTATTTCATACTTTTTATTTGGCTTCAAGAGGGTCTCTGAAGAAATCTTAAACTCCTAAAAAGACCCAATCAGCAAGACAGCAAACATAAACAAATCAATGTCAGTGTTGCTCCCAAAAAAGGTAATCACAGCCCAAGATTTTGCAGATCCAGCAAAATGCCCCTTACAAAATGCTCATCTTCATAGCATTTGAAGCTGAAAATTCCAAATAAAACTTGAAAACTGAAAAGGGAAAAGTATCCCAATTCCATCTACCATCTTTATCAAGACACACTTAATTCTCAGGGTCCTTGAGATAGGGCAGAAAAGACACATATATCCATGTCACTACACCACAATTTCTAGCTCGAGTGTAAGATCTCCTTCAAAGCACTAATTAAAGACATAAGAACACTGAGTAAGACAACAAAAGAGTGGCAACTCTATTCTCATCACAAGGATCCAAACAGAGCAAGAGGAGGTATGCCAGCACAACTGGCGTCTGAAGGGGAACACTTTCCAAAGAGCCTCTCATTTCATTCACAACATTCTTGCCGATAAAGAAAAATAACCACAACAAAACAGCTGTTTGAAGGAAGAGCTTTACACTGTTAAGTGCTCCTGCTGGCTCTTTTAAAAGCCCGAGCCACCATAACCCGATTGCTTTTCCCGGATCTACCAGAAGATACACATTGCGCAAGAAAGCCCAAGACTTTGAAAGACAAAGAAGCCAAACACTGTTTAAAGATTGTCAGGCGAGCAGCAGGCTCGCTTCCTGATGGAACGAGGCTTGGAGCTTGTGACGGATACGATCCCGGATCAATAAGACTACCACACACAACAAATAAGGTTTTCCTTGTTTGCCTTACGAGACTAACGCCAAGATCAGCAGAGGCAGTGGCTGCGGGATCACCGCTGCTCCCAGGAAGAGCCGGGTGCCTCACTCCGGGGCTGCGTTTGCACATCACCCTCTTGGGTGCAAGGAAGAAGAGCGGAGGCTGCGGCAGCCCCCGCCAAGCGCCATCCCTGGGGCACTGCCGCATCCCCGTGGGCACCACCGTGTTCCTCTGGGTCGCCATCCAAGCACGTGCTCGACACCCACACCGAGTGTTGCCGCCCCGTGCCTCGCACCAGCAGCGGACTGGAGGAGACTTCAGTGCTGCTATCCCGAGGTGCTCCGGCACGCTTCCACTCGGGATTCACACCTACAGGGCTTTACAGAGGTGCGTCGCTGTGCTTGCGAGAAGCCTCCCGAGTAACAGCGAACCAACCGAGCAGACGTTTCCTCGGAACTGTCCTAAGCATGCGTTTTGGCGCAAGCCAAAATATGGGGATTCCAGCCAAAAAACAAACAACAAAAACATCGAAACTTGTGTCACTTCCTTCCTGCGCTTGGGGAGCGGGACGGAGCCGGGACAGTCCGGTCTTGAAGAAGAAGACACGGCCGGCAACTCCTGAGCGGTCGCCCGGGAGAAGCGGCAACGCCGCGGGAGCTGCAGAAGCCCCGGCCGGGCGGGGGGAAGCGGCCACGGACGGAGCGGGGGCTGCGGGAGCCCGGTTACCGGGAGCCGCCGCCAGGCTCGGAAGGGAGGGAGCTGAGCCCCGCCGGCGCACAGGGGACCCCAAGGCCTGCCCGAGGACCACCTCGGCCCCGAGGGGCGGCAGTCACGGCGAGGGGCGCGGGGAGCACCTGTTGGCCAAACCCGCCCGGTGCCGGCCCGCCCGGGACGCCCACGGGGAACCCGAGGAATCCCGCCACGGCCCCCGAAACGCGGCCGCCCACGGCGGCGTCTGAGCCATCCCACCCCCGGCCTCCCGGCACCGCCAGCAGCCGCCGCCCGCCCCCGCCGCTCCTCACCGTGCGGCTCATCAGCGTGTCGGGGTCTGCGGGCTCGCACAGCTCGCTCAGCTTGCGGTCCCAGTGCAGCAGCGGCGGCTGCTCCCCGCCGCTCTCGCACACCTCCATGGCGGCCGCAGGCACCACCCGCGCCGGCCTGTCGTTCTGTCCGTCGGTCGGTCCGTCCGCCGCGCCGCTGCCGGACCCTGCCCCCGCCACTGCCCCGGGCCGCGGAGCCGCGCGCTCGCCCCCGCCCCGGCGCGCTCCCTCGGCCGCCGGCAGCGCGCGGGCGTGGCCGGGCGCGTCACCCCCGCCACCGCGCGCCGCGCCCCCGCCCCCGCCAATCGGGGCCGAGCGGCGCCGGCCGCCGGCCAATGGGCGCGCGGGGCCCCGAGAGGCCGCGGCCGCGAACGCGGGCGTGGCGCGCGCGGCCAATGGCGCGGCGCAGCGGCGGGGGCGCCGGCCAATGGGGCAGCGACAAGACTGCGGCCGGCGCGCGCCGCCCCGCCCCGGGCCGGGCCGCCCTCAGGGACGGACCCGCGGCCGGGACGGAGGGGCCGGGACAGCGGGCCCGGGATACCCGTTCGGTGAAAACGGGTCAGAACGCGCCTCCTGAAAACCAGAACGCCACAGCTCTGGGCAGCCGCACGGAGGACGCTGGTTCCTGCCTCAGGTCGGTCCCAGAGCGCTCAGCAACCGGCAGTAAAAATAATGCCAGGCAAAGGGAAATTCTGGTGGTTTAAGACTTGTGTTCCTGCCAAGCCGGGGCAACGCTGACAGTCCATTGTTCTTTAAAAGTGACAAGTTGCCAAATCCTTAGGAGCGAAAAAGCTGGGCATTGCTTAGTGCCTGTGTGCAGCTGAGGCACAGCTGGGTGCTGCAGGGTCAGCTCAGCACTAATGGACAGTTCAACCAGAACCGCACTGCCTGGTGTTCTCTCTCCCCTCGACCACCCTGGAGACATCACCGCTTGTGGCAGCCACTTCCCCCCACTCACAGAGCCAACAACCGCCCAACAAAAAGCAACCAAGCCCCCCCCAAGAAAAACCAAAACAACCCCCCGACGAAAAAAAAACCAAAAAGAAGTCCCAACAATTAAAAAGCAAAAAAACAAAAAAAAAAAGAAAAAATAAAACAAATTCAACAAGGTTGGTCCCTTAAAAGTTAATAAAACGCCGGAAGTGGAATAAGGGGGAAAAAAGTGTAACAGAAGTTACTCTACCAAAGATCTCCTGCAAAAATCAGTCTCCTGCAAAAAGAAGCCAGCCTGATATTTATCTTCAGCAGCAAAGAAAATGGCTAAAACCAAATTACCAGTACCTGAATTGCTACCTTCCACTTTGGCAAGCCCACCCAGAGGTACAAACTTCTTGTTTGTACTGCCAGGAACTGTTATCAAAGCAATTCCGTTGTGCCAGTCCACAGCTGCAGATTGTGAAATTTGTAAAGGTCAGTTCCTGATCCATGAGCCTCCAGGAGTGTTTTCATTGGATGTGTTCTTCCTCTCAAAGCTTATGTGGCTTTGTGCTAATCCCTTTAACAAAAGGCTCTTCATCACCCTGCTGGCTGAGATTAGCACCGTCTAAAATCACTGCAGTGACTAGATAATTTCTTGGGGCAGGGGCACTAAATGGATGTTTTGCCCATATGAGAAATCTAAAGGAAGACCCGTGTTTGCCTTGTAAACCAACAAAAGGAAGGCCACCTTGGAATAAGGTAGTCCTGATTGGGTGAGTGCAGCTTCCTTTGCTGAGTATGATGAGAACAAGGGGCTCCTAAGGACTGGTGTTTGACCAAGAGTACTGGGCTGAATTTTCTCACCCTAACACATTTCTCAGGCAGAAATATTTATTTAAGGAAGAAGTTGCACAGGCACACACTTCTGTCCTTTCCTCTTGGGTAAAGCACTCATACAAACTGAGACACCCTGGATAAACAGCACACTGCTTTCCCCAGTGGTTTCCACTCTTCCTGCACCATATAAAACTGTGTCCCTCTCCCCTCTGCACTTCCCCAGGAGCTCTCTATCATTGGTACTGAGGCACAGCTGCTGCTGTGAGACAGGGCTGCTGAGAATGCATAAGTATGCTGGAAGACTTCTTTGGCCACTGAAATATTTTGACACAAAACTAGCTATTTCTGGGCCTATAATATAAATATAAAACACAGTTTTATATTTATACACAGTTACTGACTCCTGATTAAAATTAGTGTTCAAGGCTACATGTAAATTTTGAGGTTCAAATCTCTGAAACAATTACCCAAGACTTTGTAAAGAAAAGTGACCAATTTGCTTTGCATGGTAGCAGCCAACAGCATAGAGACCACACTGATGTGTTTGTGCTGCAGCACCAGCTCTTCTTGGGAAAGGAAATCTGAAATAGCAAGGTTCTGCTAGATGTTGGCAGCACATACACGAACAAGGAAGACACAGAAGTGGAAGAAACTAATCCTTTCCAGAGAATATTAATTATTCACTGTGCTGATACAACACATGGGACAGCAGTCTCATGTGTCACATGTTGCTGTCCACAGCCTGACACTACACCAGAAATCAGCCACTGGGGAAAGCGCCTTAAAACCTACAAGAACATGATACAGACACAGTTATCCTAACTTTATCCCATACTCCCTGGAGGAATTGAATGGTAGACTTCAATAGTTACCAGCCTGCTGAAGAATCAAGGCTGTTTCTTCATGTTTCATTACATTTCTTTTAGAACAGCTATAATAGTATTATTAAGTTCCAACTCATGTAATTCTAAGAGCATTTTTGATTTCTTTTGTGCAAGAACCTTTCCTCACCCCACTTCTGAAATGGGTTTGAACTGACCCTGCAGCACAGGGGGAGAGCGCAAAAATTGACCAAAAATCTACAAGAACATAAAAGGCTGGGGAGTTATTGTCTGTACATACCGGGAAGAGAAGAGCTCAGCTTTTGTTTACAGAGAATTCTGCTCCCTTTCTACAAGGAGCAGAAAGCCCATGCAGAAAACACACATAGAAAACCTACAGAGAAAACCAAACCAGCTAAGAAAGAGGAGGCTGCTAAAGGCAAAACTCCAAACAAACACCACTTACTTAAAATATCAAAGAACAAAGCAAGCAACAAGACAAACCCTAGCAAAGGAAAGGTGCTCTCTTTCTCCTTGCAGATCTGGGTTACAGAAGCCACAACTCCTGCAACCACATTGTTACTCAGTTCTCGATCAGGTCAGCTGCACAAAGGTTCGTTAAATATTTACAGGTGACATTCTTCTGACTTGTGACAAGCAGGATCAAGATAACCATCCATTTTCTACAGCCACTCTGTTCAAATCAGTTTGAGAAACCAACCAATGAGAAAAAAACAGCAGCAGAGCCTACAGGATGAAAACTGCCAGGTTTCTGACCACACACCAGTAAAAATCTTACCCCTTGAAAGTAACAGAAAACAGCCATAGCTAGAGATATCTTCAACAAATTCAGTACCTCTTAAAGAGTGCAGGACACAAATTCCAGGTCTAAGAATATAAAGAATGAACCAGCAGTTACTTTCTAATCACAGTAGTTACTGGAGATTTTTGTGAAATGGCCAGGTATAGTAATGAGCTGAATTTTTAACATGGGTCTAAGCAATGAACAGAAAAAGTCTTACACACACCAATACATGTTCCCCACAAGAGGATGTCTCAAGAAGAAACTCTGTGAAAGTCACTTTTTTGTGTGTTGTGCAAAGACTTTACTTGCACTAACAAAGCAAATTTCTTGTGTAAATGAGATTTAAATCACACTACTGTGCTGAGAAGCTCACCACTGCCAAGATAAACAGACACCAAGTCTTAGTTTGTACATTCAGACATGCTCAACTACTTGGCAAAAAAGCTTCCACCACAGAAATTTCAGAGTTAAAAATAGAAGGTGAGCTTGAGAATAGTAAAGTTTTCTTCCCACAATCCTGGCATTTCATTCCTTTTCTGACACATCAAAAAAGTGGGATAGCCAGCCCTGAAGACAGCCTGTTAGTAAGCCCACATAATTGGTACACTGACAGAAATACAGGCTCCCTTTACCAGAATCTTCTTTGCTATTGTACCCAGGGGCTTTTCTAAGCTCCAATTCAGCCTTCCTGCCTTTGCAATTACTGCCCCTCTGCAAGGGCTTTCACCAGGCCCCCACCAGCACTGCTGGTCTTGCACTGAAGTGTGACCTGTGATTGGGAGCACAGACACGGTGCCCTCAGCCCCACAGAACACAGGACAATGAGAGGGCTATTTTGGTGAAATGGGACTCGATTTCTATGGCCGAAGCATCTTCTCCTACTTCTTCATGCCTCCTAATTTCTGTGGACAGAGCAATTACTGTAGAGTAGTAAGAATTAAAGCTGAAAGCATTCTTTGCTGTGTGACACAGGCACAATATCATGGTGTCTTCATCAAGCCAGCCACAAAAACAAGAAGAAAAACATGTTTCCTACACCTTACAGGCTGACAGAAATAACAGAGTGCCATGGAGCTGCCTTGCAGGCCAGAATAGCCCTGCCTCAGAGCTGTTCAGAAACGCTCCAAATACTTGGTGAACATGCTGACATTTTAAAAAGAAGTAATCCATATTTATCTTTTGCAATTATCTCCATAAATACATAAAATAAATTCCTGCTTAAGGTCAAATGCTTCTAAATACCCTGGTTGATGCAAGCAGCCAGGATTTGCCTCATCAGGTTTACAGAAGATACTAACACAGACAAGAAAAAGCAGAATGCCATTTTCCAGCAGACATTGTGGGAAAACACTCATTGCCTAGTAATAAATAAGGAATCACTGTATTTCACTCAGGTGATACCACTCCCATTATATTTCCTCACAGAACAAATACCTATCCACAAAAAACCCTGAAACCAACCAGATGCTATAGGAATGTTGATTTCACACAGGATTTTCTCACAAGTGAAATAAATTAGTTACAGATTAACTTTGCCCCAGAGTAGCAGAGCAGACATAAGATGAACACACAGCAAGCCTTTGCCACTGGTTATTTTTGCTCTAACTAGGGCAATGCAGAATCATTTGGGAAGGGCTACCCTACGGCCAAGCTGTGCTGAACATTCAGCACACTGCTTCCAGTGTGTGCTCAAAGTCAGTGCATGTTGTCTTTGTAGCAGGTCAACCTTTAAAAGTATACTAGCTACTTTAAATAGAACTGGAAGGGCAAGAAAACCCAAAGTTCTTGAGTAAATATTTTTCTTTGCTGGCACCTAATCCTAATACCTT